CACTCCCCAGACTCCAGGGGAGGCATCTGGCAGGAAGGGGGCCTGTCTTCCCATCTGTGGGGTTTAGATACTGAAGATGTGATGAGGGAGAGCCCCACACAGGATCATGTTAGAGAGGAGTTCTTGAATAATTTGGCTAGGATTTTTGCTTAAAAACGTAGGTATTATTTATTTCCCGGTCCTCGGTCTTCTTGGAGATTCTCTCTTGAACGTTGCCTGAGGCCTGCTCTTGGTCCCCCCGGGCGAGTTCCCTGAAGACCTGCAGGACCCAGCCTTCTGCCCTCAAGCTGCTGCTGAGTTGAAGCCGACATCAGCGCACATTGTTTCTCCCCTGACACACCATCAGCAGTGCAGAGCTCCCTGCTTTAGCATTTCCCCGCAGGGCAAGAGGATGTTTGAAGAGCCCAGATCGGCTTCCTTTCAGCCACTTAGCCTATTGTGCCATTTAAAATTGAAATCTGAGTTTTTGTGACCTGCTTTATCTCACTCAACTCTAGAAAGGCTTTGTTCCCAGGGTGCCATCCCACCCTGTACCACTCCCCAGACTCCAGGGGAGGCATCTGGCAGGAAGGGGGCCTGTCTTCCCATCTGTGGGCTTTAGATACTGAAGATGTGATGAGGGAGAACCCCACACAGGATCATGTTAGAGAGGAGTGCTTGAATAATTTGGCCAGGATTTTTGCTTAAAAACGTAGGCATTATTTATTTCCCGGTCCTCTTATAATCTTCTTTAGAACTGGAGATTCTCTCTTCAACGTTGCCTGAGGCCTGCTCTTGGTCCCCCTGGGCGAGTTCCCTGAAGACCTGCAGGACCCAGCCTTCTGCCCTCAAGCTGCTGCTGAGTTGAAGCCGACATCAGCGCACATTGTTTCTCCCCTGACACACCATCAGCAGTGCAGAGCTCCCTGCTTTAGTATTTCCCCGGTGTAATTGTGTTTCCTATGATACTCCCTAAACACACAGAGAAAACTGCCATCCTGGGAAATGTGAGAAACCCTTTCTTACCTCACAAATCTGCCCGAGGGTTCGAGAGTGAAGAGCTTTCCCTACTCACCTTGTTCTTTTTTTCAACGCAATTAGTTATCACAATTGGCTGGTACATTGTGTTCAAAGATGAGGATCAGACAACTGATTTCCTTGTGGACACTTAGCTGCTCCTCATTCCTTCGCCACACACAATACCCCTAAGTGTATTGAGGAATCATTCGAAGATTTTATGGGGTCACCATCTCTAAGAGGCAACATACAGGGTGGGGGGTGTCATTTGCATAGATTGTAATGGGAGGCTATTCCTGGAGTGTGGCAGTGCACAATTGCACAACCAAATGTGGCAGTCAATACATGGGCAGCTGTAGCATCATTCCTGGCTGGGGAGAGTCCCAAAACTTTTGGAAATGCACAGATATGTGGAAATTAAATCACGCACTGCTAAATAACCAGTCAGTCAAAAAAAGAAATTATAAGGGAAATTAGAAAATACTTTGAGATGAGTGAAAATAAAGACATAGCATACCAAAACTTGTGATAGCAACTACACTTAGTAAATAACCACCCTTAGCATTTCTTAATTTTATTTCTTAGCATTTCTTATATGAGAAACTATTCTTTTATAGTTTCAGCTTCTTGGTCTCATATTCTGCTTGCCCATATTGGTGCTAAATTAATATTTGTTGAATGAATGAATGGTGTTCCAGTGGCAAGAAGATAAACCAAGGAATCAGGAGTCCATGTTGAATTCCTACTTAGCTAATCCTTATCCTCTCACACTTTTGCATTTGCATTTATGTTTTAAGATCTTTGATAAAGTCTCATCCTCTTCTCTTTTTCCCCTTCCCTTTCCCTTCGGCCTTCTGCATTACTTTGTGGTTTAAACTTCCTACCAATCTCTTAACACATAAACTTTTTTTGTCCCCTGTTACTAAGCTAAGGGGTTGGCAGACTACTGCCTGGGCACCAAATCCAGCCCACTGCCTGTTTTTTGCCGGGAGCCGGTCCATCCTTGCTGCTTGACACAGTCGCTGCAGAGAAGAAACGTCTGCACAGCATATGTTTCAAGGGATCTGGTGTATGGAGATCCTGGAGGGAGAACCTCGCTATGCTGATGAACCGACGAACCCAGTCATGTCATTCCTTCTTCACCGACTCTGTCCACACCTTTGGGGACCCCTGGACCTGCTGGGGTTGGACCCCAGCAGTTTTTGTATGATCTGAGAGTTAAGAATAGTTTTAACATTTTTAAATAGTTTAAAAAAATCAAAATAATAATATTTCATGACATGTGAAAATAATAGGAAATCCAAATTTCGGTTCCCTTAAAAAAAGTTTTACTGGAACACAACTATGCCAATTTGTTTGGTATTGTTTATAGCTGTGCTTACAATGGCAAAATGGAGTAGTTGTGACAGAGAGCTGTGGTCCACAGAGTCCAAAATATTTACTGTTTACCTCTTTATATAAAAGTTTGCTGACCCTTTTCTGGGTTTTCATACAAGCATAATCATGACTTGGTATGCCTTCCCTTTTTTCCATCACAACAAAGCCTTTTTCTCCTCAGATGGACCTGGTCCTTTTATGTCCCGTATTTCCCTCCACACCCAGAGCAGTGCTCAAGATTTGTAGTCAAACAGATCTGAGTTTGAATTGTGGTTTGACCACTCACTAGCTGAGCAAGGTATGTACATATCCTTAGTCTCTTCATCTGCAGAATGGATTTGTCATGAGGACTAAGGAGATGATGTATTAAACTTTAAAACATGGGTCGAAGGCCCAGGAGGTGCTCCACAAACAGTAGTAATCACCAGTGGACACTTCCTTTATTTGTAATATGAAGATATTACCTTTTGCCCTTAATGAAACTAGTAGTAAGTCAGTAAAAACGGAATTCCATGATTCAGCTGGAGGCCTGTAAAGATTAGCTGGAGACATTAAGGCCTGAAATGAGATATTAGGCCAGTGAGCCTTTGTTTAAAATTTAACAAACCCTTCTTGGTTACTCATTGAGCTCAGGGCTGCGTAGGACTCAGGTGGATGTGAAAGAAGACCTCATCCACCGCGGAGGAATTTTTTCTCTCAACTGGGGGAATAAGGAAAAACAGACGTGAGCTGTGCTCTTACTTGTCCATAATATTTCTCTTCTCTCTCAGGATGGATGATTCAGAGTCAGCAATTCACATAAAAAGTATTGGGCATGGAAATTATTACTGTTATTCTGCAGGGAAATAAGTTTATAAGGCAGCAATCTGCAATGAATAACTTTCTCTGTGGAAACTGTCCTGACAACATCTCGAGACGAAGCCAAGGAGTGCAGTTTTTACAGCCTTGGATCATCTTCTCTGTCTGCTTGGCTTGCAGCAGGCATGGGTCCATGAGTCAGAGATTCAGAGCTTTTCCCTTTCCCTGTACAGTTTGCTTGCCAACTGGAGACCATATACAGTGGAGCCTCAATTTCTCAGTCCCCAATATATCCATCCATTGAATCAACACAAATCATCTCAATTTACTTATGAAAGGCTTTGGGAGAAAATCACAGAAGGAAAAAAAAAAGGCTTAGTCTTTACTGTTATCACAAAACATTTGGGTGCAGGACATCAGAAAAGGAGTGATGCTCTCCCTTTCTGGAGCTTGCCGGAGCCCCTCCCCTCCCCTCCCCTCCCCTCGCCCTCTTCCCTCAAGCTGTGCTGCCTTTACCCTTCTCTCTCCTAAGCTCCAAAGGCCCTTCTTTTGCTTCTGTAACTTGTTTCCTGAGCCCATTTCTTCTACCACTCACTTCTTCTACCTCAGTGACTTTCTAAATAAACTTTCTCTTACAGTATGAAAAAAGAGAAAAGAAGGAAAGGGAGATTGGAAACTGGAGATCAATTTTTTTTTCTTTCGAGAGGAAATATTCCTGTAAGAAAGCCCAGTATTTATAGTGTGATAAATATTTATGTCCATATGCAGGGAGTGTATAGCTATTGAAAGGAAAGTAGCTTAGGAAAGAAGTAGATGAGAAGGATAACAACTTTTCCACAAAAGCCACAGTGCGGCTGACATGCATGAAGATGGCGGCTGTAGTTCCAATAGCCATATGTGGCAGCACAGACACTTCATTTTCACTCCTTCTTACATGTAAGTTTAGAATATGAGCAAAGAAATCTGGATTTCTACTTTCTATTGATGAGATTTTTAAAAATTTCAACTTAGATTCCCCCCTTCCCCCCATATATAAGACCACAAGGTAGGGCATTATGTTTGAGATAATTCATTATACTGTATTACATTTAAAGTTTTCTTTTTCTGGCCCGGCCAGTGTGGCTTAGTGGTTGAGCATCAACCTATGAACCAGGAGATCACGGTTCAATTCCTGGCCAGGGCACATGCTCAGGCTCGATCCCCAATGGAAGGTGTGTAGAAGGCAGCCAATCGATGATTCTCTCTCACCATTGATGTTTCTCTTTTCCTCTCCCTTCCTCTCTGAAATCAATAAAAATATATATTAAAGTTTTCTTTTTCTGGATTAAAAACAACTGAAGGACAGAGTAAGAGGCATACCATTTAAAGACTCTCAGATTGGCATGTTGCTGGAAAAGGGACAGACATGTAGGAGTTGGGATACTAGCAGAGAACTCAAAATGAGGAAGCTAAACATCTAGAATTTTTATTGATTACAGTTGGCGCCTGTGTACAGAAACCTCAGGGTAGTTTCAAAACACAGCTATATGTGTAATATTGTAAGTAAATTTGAAAATTAGAAGTTAAAATTAGAAGTTGGCAATAATATTAATGCCAACCCTAGACTACCAACGTGGAAAGGAAATCAGGAAGAAACTCAACAAGCCTGAAAGATCAAGTTTTCTTCTGTGTTGGATAATATGGGTGGAAGCAATCCCAGATGGCTGGGTGTGACAGAAAGAAACAAGACACCTCAAATGCATGCTAGATGAGCTATATTGTGCTACATGCTATGGGAGATATCGAAATACTTAAAAGACACACACTACTCTTGTCCACAACGTTTATAATTTATCTGCATAACAATGGTTTTAAAAGCTTTTACATTCCAGCTTTACCCCCTTACTAGCTCTGTGTTATTGGGTCAAATATTTAATCTTTTCGGCGTAATTTCTTCATCTGTGAAACAGTTAAGGACGATCTCTCATATGCCAGGTCTCCTGCCTCCTTTCAGCTCCTCCACAGGCGAGCTCTCACTTCCCGCCCCACCTCTGCCCTTGTCCCTGCACCGGGAAAGCTTGGAGCTGGCTCACTCTGAAGGTTTTGCTTTCTTATCAGCTCCTCAGAGAGCTTTGGTTCAGAAAAGGATCGTGTCTACATCCATGGACGAGGTTGTTAGAATACTTACAGGATGTTATTATCATCACCCCTAAATAGGCTTTGAGATCAGGTTCGGGCTCGGCGGGCTGGGCTGGGCCGGGCGGGGCGGGGAG